TGCTTGCTGCCCGACCGCGCGCTGCGGGCGCGCCTGGCTCGCGGGGAATTGGCGCGGGCAGTAGTGATGGACGAGGACAGCGCCTCGGTGGCCGAGCTGCCGCCCGACGGCCCCGCTCTGGTGCTGCTGGCGGCGCTGCTGCACGAGACGTGCGCTGGGCCCACCGCCGTGTGCTTCCTCCGAGGTGAGCGCCAGCCCACGCCCGCCCCAGCCGCTGCCCGCGCCCTCCCGACCCGGCCCGCCCTCCCATTCACCCGTGTCCTTGCCCCACCTGCAGGAGGCTTCGAAACCTTCCAGACCTGCTGTCCGGATCTGTGCTCTGAGTCCCCCACCCCGGTGATGCCTCCCGCTGGGGTTGAAAACAGCTGCCCCGCGGACTCCAGGGCTCCCTTCTATGACCAGGTGAGTTGAGATCCGAGATCCTTGTCACTGTTCCCCACTCTCCCCTCTCCTAGGCAGGATAGACACTTTGGGGTACCGATTTGCCATTTCTAGATGCCAGGGTTCCACCCTGTGTGTTTGGGGGTGGGGAGGGAGAGGGTGATGAATAGGGGCACACATCTGTGAGTGTGCCTGGCTGCCTGCTTGTATGAGACTCCCGGGTCTGTGTGTGTATCTACAGCATAGTTTGGGGCTTCAGGTGTGTATCTATGACTAGACCTGCTTGTCCTTGGGGGTCCTCCTGGCATTTCTGAATCTGACCACCTCCTGCAGGGGGCCAGACAGCCACATCTCTGTCCCTGCTGGAGCGCAGCCCTCCAGCCCTGAGCTGAAGACCTCATGACCCCTTTCCCCTGCCCCTCCAGGGTGGCCCTGTGGAGATCTTGCCCTACCTGTACCTGGGCAGCTACAGCCACTCCTCAGACCTGCAAGGGCTGCAGGCTTGCGGCATCACTGCGGTCCTCAACGTCTCCGCCAGCTGCCCTAACCACTTTGAGGGCCTTTTCCGCTACAAGAGCATCCCCGTGGAGGACAGCCAGATGGTGGAGATTAGTGCCTGGTTCCAGGAGGCCATAGGCTTCATTGGTAAGAGAGAGCCCGAGCCCCGCCCGGGATTGGGGAAGGCCCCAGGAGCGGGCGCTGGCGCCTGTCCCTCCCCTGCCTACTTTCCCATCTGACTGCCCCCTCCCCCCCCCTTGCAGACTCAGTGAAGAACAGCGGAGGCCGGGTGCTGGTCCACTGCCAGGCAGGCATCTCACGCTCCGCCACCATCTGCCTGGCATACCTGATCCAGAGCCACCGGGTGCGGCTGGATGAGGCCTTTGACTTTGTTAAGCAACGTCGGGGCGTCATCTCCCCCAACTTCAGTTTCATGGGGCAGCTACTGCAATTTGAGACTCAGGTGTTGTGTCACTAAGGCAGAGTGGCACCAGGCTGACACCCCCCCAATGGCCGAGAGAGGCCGCTTATTCCTGGGGACCACTGGGCTCCTCGCGGGTCTGTCTCCTGTCAGAATTTGAAAAGCTCCTAGTGTCCCACGGGGGCACTAGAAATGCAGGGGTGCTAGATTTTCTTCTCTGGTGCTCGTCTGCTAGGGGTTTGAGGGCCGGCCCTCAAACTGGGGGAGAATGAAGGGCACGTCTACTTCCCTCCTGCCCCACCCACTGGCAGAAATGAACTAGACTCTATATCCGTGGTGCCACCACCATGTCGAAGCCCTTGGCAGCCTGAGGGCACCAAGGAACAAGCTGTGACAGCCAGGAGCCCTGTCTGGGGTGGTCCGCCCTGGGGCCTGGAGCCTGAGCCTTGTGCGGGGGAGCTGGAGCTCAGGAAGTGACTGGAACGTCATGCTGCGGACTGTTTGCTTGCGTGTGTATGTACGTGAGCGTCTCACGCTTGTGTTGGCGCTGGAAAGTTATTTGTGTTCAACTGACATTTAACACTCCCTCCCCCTACTTCCTCCCAGCCCTGTGGGCAGGGGTTGGAAACTTAGCACTTTATATTTATACAGAACATTGAGGATGTGTCAATAAAATATTGTTTTAACAAACAACCTCTCAAGCTTCTGGTCTCACGTTAATGTCTAGGAAAACGCTCAGAAGGTTTTCTTAATCAGACTTCACCTTTTCCTTGCCACAGGGCCTGGGGGAAGGAGGGAGGCTCACCCACCCACACCTGCCTCCCACTCCCAGGCCAGGCTTTACTCTCTGGGCCGTGGCATTCTCTCATGTCTCTCAGATGCACAATGTCCTCTGTGGCGCCTCCCGGCGCAGGTGTGCCCACTTACAGCCACACCGTACTGGTGCCCACCATCAGGCAGGTGTGCCCTGTGCCCACGCGCCCCAGCACCTCCTGCATTCAAGGCCGCAGATGCTAGCCACAGAGGCCACTGGTGCCAAAGTCTGAGCAATTATTTACCCTACAGTCTGGCCCTCGAGGCTTTTTGCCATACAATCTACACGTTTCCCTTGGCGAATGTGCAGCCATAACCCACAAAAGTGAACAACTCGATTGAACGGCAGGCTCCAGCTAAGCCCAGGAGGAGTGAAAAGAGACAAGATGGCCACGGGCACCAGCAGATGATCCCTCAATTCTGCCGCTGAAGCACTGCTCATTCATGGGGAACCACTCTTCACTCAGAGTCTGCTGTCACACGCCAGGAGCCAGTGGCCTCTTGCTGTGGTCAGCCACAAGCCAGGTCCTGCATCCCCCAGGATGCACTCACTCAGACTGGCGACCCATGCTGTGCCCTTTTGGGGGAGATCACGAAATCCCCAGGGGTACTCTGCCTTCACTCCCCACTCGGCCTTCATAGCCACCACGGCGACACTTTGCACATGTGCTTGCCTGGGGACCTCTGGATCGTCAACTCCACGTGCGACCTCTCTGGTCCCCTCTCCGGCTGTGGTCCCCACCACAAGCCACGTTCCCCACCCCTCCCCAACAACAGGTCCCTCAGCACCTCACACTAATTCGGAAGTGAACGGGGCGTCACCAACAGGTGGTTTCAAGAGGCTCGTCTGCCTTCTTTAACGTCCTTTAATGTCCGTTCAGGGCCCCCGACCTTGGCTCCAGCTGTTTCCCTCATCTAAGTTGGCTTTTGGATGCATCCGCCTGGCTGCAGAGGACCACGCGGGGGTCTCCTCCCTCCGTGGGCCCGGGCTGCTCTTCTGCCTGCCCCTTCCTCTACTCTGGGTGCTGCCTGTGGCTCTGGGGGTGCTGGGCAGTGCACAGGCTGCATTAGGCCACCAAGGACTGCTGGCTACCCCCGACTTTTCATCTCCTGGAGTGCACAAATGACCCCTTCCATCCCCAGGGTCCCGTGTCCCAGCGTTCCCCAGTCTTCTGGCGGGATTGCTAGTCCAATCACGTCAGCACTGGGCGAGCTCTGAATGATGACTCGTGGTCCTCTTTCTTTCCCGGTGAGCCTGCCGCCTCAGGAGTAGTGGGCTGGCCCCCCAGGCCATCTTCTCCTCCTTGTCCTGCAGCTCCCGGGCCTTGCCCACCTCCTGTGCTCCTGCAGCATCTTTGGCTCTTCTCGCAGCTCCTGGACTTTGACGCCCCTAGCTGCCATGGCGCCTCCGGCGCTGTGCTCAAGCGTTACAGAGCTGTGAGGGCCCCTCTCCCAGACCTGCCTCCGTGCTGGCCCCGGTCCACCCAGTGCCTTCCCTTCCCACTGTGTGCAGAGTCCTCTGTTCACTGGCACTGGGGTCTCGCCCACGTAGGCCACTGACGGGGAGGTGCCCCCACAGAGGCCGTTCTCAGTGCCTCCCCAGGTCTTCAGAGGGCTCCACACCTGTCTGGGTCCCATCATTCTGCTGACTCATGCCAGATGTCCAGGCAGGAAGACACAGAACAGGTTCTCCACGGTCTGGGCAGACGGGTAAAGGACAGTCCTGGGGCCCTCAGTGGCTCTTTCAGGCTTTTAATGATCTGTCTATTGTAGTGCAGTCACCAGGCGCAGGGCAGGTGGGGGGCGCGGAGGCTGGCAGACCTCCCAGCCCCCAGAGAACCTTTACCCTCTCTCTGCCACTCTCTGCTGCTCGTTGTCCTCGGACATCCATATGTGCTCAGTGTCCGGTCTCAGGTGCGCCCACTTATGCATACCCACACGATACTTCTGGTGCTCACCATCAGGCATGCGTTCCTCCCCATGTTTTCAAGCGTCTCCTGCATTCTAGGCCACAGGTGGTAGCCACAGAGACCAATGGTGCAAAGCCTGAGCCATCTTGGCTTACAATCGACAACCATCCAAGCTATTTTTAAGCATTTGGTTCAATAATGTCAAGTACATTTATGTCAAATGCAATGACACTCCAGAACTCCATCCTGCAAAACTGAAACTCTGGGCCCTTTAAACAGCCCATCACTGCCCCTTGCCCAAACCCTGGCACCATTCCATTCTACTTTCTTTGTCTATGATTTTGACTATTCATATAAGTGGAATCACACAGTAACACACTACTATCTTGTTGTGACTGGCTTATCTCATTTAGCGGAATATCGTCAAGACAGGTGCTTTTCTTTCTTTTTTTAAAAATAGGTTTTATTTTTGTGTAGAAGAGCTGGGGTATAGGCCAGGGGTGGGGTAGTGAAAGGATTTACCAGTGACAGAATGGGGAGCAGAGTAGGTGGATTTACTGAAATACACTGCTGAGGGGAGCAATGGGGGAGACTGGCGAGGTCTGCAGTGCCATGTGGGTCAGCTCTCTGGCCGGGGATCCAACTCAGGCCACTGCAGTGATAGGCTAGAGCATTGAGAGTTAACCCCTAGGCCACCAGGGAGGCCCCAAATGCTTCTCTTAATGAACTGTCATACCCATGTTTCTCTTCCTAATACTGATTACTGTTATATTTTCTGAGCACTCATCTGAAGGGTCAGTTGGGTGCAGACTGCTTATGCTATGTTACTACATCCTGAGCAGCAGGGCATCAACCTTTACCACACTCTCCCCGTCATTCTCTTTGGAAGAGTGCTGGATTCCAGGCCTGGCAGAGGCTGAGGGGCTCTTGTGGCCCTAACCAGTGACCTTGGCTCTTAGTGGGCATTACTGGTGGTGGTGATGGCCCCAAATATTCCACCTTCAGGATTTAAAACCAGGGGACTCTTGGTAGTGAAGCTCTGAAGACATGCCCTCTTGAGAGGTGGACAGGTACAGAGGATGAAGAACAAGGGTGAGCAGCTTCAATTTCTGAAACTGAAGGGACTGATTTTGCGGGATATTTGTCAGGGGTGGTGTCCCTGAGAAGGTGCAGGAATCCCAGAGCTCCTTTCTGCACATGGCAGGCTGCTCTGGGCTGCTGGCTACATGGGGCCTTTGGTTTGTGAACTTCTACTGATATGTCTACTTTTTGGTATATAAGCTAAACGAAACTAAAATATTTATAATAAAGAAACAAAAGCTTATAAAAATGCAGTGACCTGTTCCTTACCATAGGTAGACTGGGGCCTTTGCAGCAGCTCAGCAGGGTTAGGGGCAGGAAAGGGGTCGCCCCAGGTTGGAGGATGTGGTCCCTCCCAGCATGTTGCCTCAGCTCCTTTCTGCAATGTTTCTCTGCCCCCTGGTGGTGGAGGGGGCCTCAGAAGAGGTACATGCCCAAGTGGGATCCCCACAAGGTGCCTTGTGCCTGGCCCTTTGCACCCTCTTGCCCACTCTGGCCACCGCAAGAAGGATCCCAAAAGTACCCAGAGGTTCAGGCCCAGATTTTGTGGAAGGCAGGGAAAGGTAGGTAGGGCTGTTGGGTGGTGGCCTCAGGTACAATTGGTTGACCCAGGGCTCAGGTGGTGCCGGAGGAAGCTGCTAATTAAGGGGAGGGGGTGGTGCTAAGTCTACAATTGGGCTACCTAGTTCTGCTAAGGCTTAGTGGTTGTGCAGGGCCTCACCACAGACAGCACGGACATGGGAGGCCTCTGGTCTTGGGTGCTGGGTCTGCCCTTTTCCAGGTAAGGGAGCTGCCCTGCCCTCTTGCAGCCTTTAGAGTGCTGGGGAGACGCTGGAGCCTGCAGGGATATGAATTGACCAGAAGCTCAGAGAATGAGCATTCTTCAGGGGTGTTTTTAGAAGTTAGCTCCTGGAGGCCCATGGGAAGGCCTCCTGAACACCCTCAGAGCAGGGTCTGGCCAGGCAGGATACGGCACAGGTCTACTCCGGATGTCCTTGTTCTGGCAGGGGCAGGAAACTGTAACTACTCTGACCTGGTCCTGCCAGTTTTCTCCAGGCTGAGCCCACTTTCCCCAATTCTGGATTAAGAAAGGGGGCCCTGGGGCTGGGCCTGAGGCTCGTCTGCACCCTGCCATCAGCACTGGACCCTGAGGTCTGGCCTCCCAATTCCTCTTCATGCTCCCTCTCTTTCCTCATAGACCTCCCCAGATGCTCAGAGCACTGCGCTGCCTTCCGGAGCCCAGCGTTAGTCCTGCCAAGGGAGCTTCTTCCTCTAGTGTTAGACTGTCTAGGACTTGACACCAGCTGGAACTGCAGGGCGAGGCCAGGCGCTCTCAGGACTCCATGTTGGAGACCTTTGTGGAGAGCCTGGGTCTTGTGGTCTGACACCACCCTCCCCTTCTTCCTATCATCTTGAATCACCAGTGGGGGCCCTTTGGGTATCGTGTGTACCCCTGTCTGGGGTGGTTGCTCCTAGCAGTGCCATTAGCCTCCAGGTGCATCTTGGGACAGTGACATCCCTGCAATTAACCAAGGTGAGGGCACTCTGTCTTCTCTTTGGGGCGCAGGACTACGAAATTGTAGTGGTTTTCACCAGAACCTCCCTGAACACTCAGAGAGGCATAAATCGGGAGATACACCCGCTTAGCAGGCTCTAGGTGAATAGTTCTGTGGGCAACTTCTTCAGCCTTTCCCCTAGTCTTCTCTCCTAAGTTCCTTTATAAGAAGTGTGTGCGTGGTGGGGGAGGGAATATAGGTTTTAAAAATTGGGCTGATGATGAATATAGGTTTTTAAAATATGGGTCTCTGCTGCTCCCTTAGTCATTAGTGGATTTGGAAAACGCTTCAGCCGCCT